CTCTTGCGCCGGGCCTCCCCACTGGCACATCGGCATCTGAGGCGGCAGCGCATTGACCCTGTGCTCTACATGACAGAATGGTTCATGTGTATCTTCGCCCGCACCCTGCCATGGGCTTCAGTGCTGCGCGTCTGGGACATGTTTTTCTGTGAAGGTATTTCTGTGGCCATTCAGGCCATGAGGGGGCTAGAGTTTCCATTGTGGTACCAGAGGGTCTTGTCGCGTTTCTGGTGGCCCATGGACAAGAGGTACTTGTTGGGCTGAGGCTTCACTGTAAGCAGCCTGGGGCTGGAGAAACTGAGGCCTGGTCTTTGTTCTTCCACCATCCTAGAGCCTGCTTTCCCTCCCTGAGACCCACAGCAACTTATTTCCCTTCTTGGGGCTCAGTTCCTCATCTGTAAGGTTGGCTGTAAGATTAGGGATGGGGGCTGTGAGTCCATTCTAAATGGGACAGGCTGAGATCCTGGGCCTAATCACCCCATGTAGTCTTTTCTTTTTTTTTTTTTTGAGTTGGAGTCTCACTCTGTTGCCCAGGCTGGAGGGCAGTGGCACACCCACGGCCAACCCAGCGTCGACCTCCTGGGCTCCAGTGATCCTTCCGCCTCAGCCTTCCAAGCAGCCGGAACTACAGGCGCGCGCTACCACGCCTGGCTAGTTTTTTTTATTTGTTGTAGAGATGAGGTCTCGCCAAGTTGACCAGGATGGTCTTGAACCCACGGGCTCAGGCAGTCTACTCACCTCAGCCTCCCAAAGTGCCGGGATTACAGGCTGAGCCACTGAGCCCAGCCCCAGTCTTTTCTTCATCCCTGCAGGTGTTAAGATTATTTTCCGGGTGGCCCTGGTGCTGCTGCGACACACGCTGGGCTCAGTGGAGAAGCTGCGCTCCTGCCAAGGCATGTATGAAACCATGGAGCAGCTGCGCAACCTGCCCCAACAGTGCATGCAGGAGGACTTCCTGGTGCATGAGGTAGGCCTTCAGCCTCAGCACACCGGTTGCCTGCTTAAGCCCATTCCCACCCTCATCTTCCTTTTGGTGCTCATTTCCTCTCTGTCCAGGTGACCAATCTGCCAGTGACAGAAGCACTGATTGAGCGGGAGAATGCAGCCCAGCTTAAGAAATGGCGGGAAACCCGGGGAGAGCTGCAGTATCGGCCCTCACGGCGACTACACG